GATATGTTGCATCAACACCTAGTTTGTTTAGAGTTTTTAGCATGAAGGGGTATTGAATTTTATCATAGGCCTTTTCTGCATCAATTGAGATAGTCATGTTGGGTTTTTGTCATGGGTTCTGTTTTTGTGATGGATTATCCTTATTGATTTGTGTATGGTGAACCAGTCTTGCATCCCAGGGGTGAAGCCAACTTGATCATGGGGGATAAGTTTTTTGAAGTGCTGATGGATTCAGTTTGCCAATATTTTATTGAGGATTTTTGCATCATTGCTCATCAGGGATATTGGCCTGAAATTTTCATTTTTTGTTGTGTTTCTGCCAGGTTTTGGTATCAGGACGATGCTAGCCTCATAAAATGAGTTAGGAAGGAGTTTCTCATTTTCTTTTTTTTTTTGGAATATTTTCAGAAGGAATAGTACCAGCTCCTCTTTGTACCTCTGGTAGAATTCAGCTGTGAATCTGTCTGATCCTGGGCTTTTTTGGTTGGTAGGCTATTAATTATGGCCTCCACTTCAGAACTTGTTATTGGTCTATTCAGGGATTTGATTTCTTCCTGGTTTAGTCCTGGGAGAGTGTATGTGTCCAGGAATTTATCCATTTCTTCTAGATTTTCTAGTATATTTGCATAGAGGTGTTTACAGTATTCTCTGATGGTAGTTTGTATTTCTGTGGGATCAATTTATTTGCATAGAGGTGTTTACAGTATTCTCTGATGGTAATTTGTATTTCTGTGGGATCAGTGGTGATATTCCCTTTATCATTTTGTATTGGGTCTATTTGATTCCTCTCTCTTTTCTTCCTTATTAGTCTGGTTAGCAGTTAATTTTGTTAATCTTTAAAAAAAAAAAAACATCTCCTGGATTCACTTATTTTTTTTGAAGGGTTTTTCTTGTCTCTATCTCCTTCAGTTCTGCTCTGATCTTAGGTATTTCTTGTCTTCTGCTAGCTTTTGAATTTGTTTGCTCTTGCTTCTCTGGTTCTTTTAATTGTCATGTTAGGCTGTCAATTTCAGATCTTTCCTGCTTTCTCCTGTGGTCATTTAGTGCTATAAATTTCCCTCCAAACACTGCTTTAGCTGTGTCCCAGAGATTCTGGTATGTTATCCTTGTTCTCATTGGTTTCAAATAACTTATTTATTTCTGCTTTAATTTTGTTATTTACCCAGTAGTCATTCAGGAGCAGGTTGTTCAGCTTCCATGTGGTCATGCGGTTTTGAGTGAGCTTCTTACCTCAGTTCTAATTTGAGTGCACTGTGGTCTGGGAGACTCTTATGATTTCTGTTCTTTTGCATTTGCTGAGGAATGTTTTACTTCCAATTATGTGGTCAATTTTAGAATAACTGTGATGTGGTGCTGAGAAGAATGCATATTCTCTCAATTTTGAGTGGAGAATTCTGTAGCTGTCTATTAGGTCCACTTGGTCCACAGCTGAGTTCAAGTCCTGAATATCCTTGTTAATTTTGTTTCATTGATTTGTCTAATATCAACAGTGGGGTGTTAAAGTCTCCCATTATTATTATGTGGGATTCTGAGTTTCTTTTTAGGTCTCTAAGAACTTGCTTATGAATCTGGGTACTCCTGTACTGGGTGCATATATATTTATGAAAGTTAGCTCTTCTTGTTGCATTGATCCCTTTACCATTATGTAATGCCTCCTTTGCCTTTTTTTGTTGGTTTAAAGTCTGTTTTATTAAAGATTAGGATTGCAACTCTTTTTTTTTTTTTCTTTTTGCTTGGTAAATATTCCTCCATCCCTTTATTTGAGCCTATGTGTGTCTGTACATGGATCTCCTGAATACAGCACACAAATGGGTCTTGAATCTTTATCCAATTTGCCAGTCTGTGTCTTTTAATTGGGGCATTTAGCCCATTTACATTTAAGGTTAACATTGTTATATGTGAATTTGATCCTGTCATGATGATTCTAGCTGGTTATTTTGCCTTTTGGTTGATGCAGTTTCTTCATAGTTTCTATGATCTTTACAATTTGGTATGTTTTTGCAGTGGCTGGTACCAGTTTTTCCTTTCCATATTTAGTGATTCCTTCAGGAGCTCTTGTAAGGCAGGCCTGGTGGTGACAAAATCTCTCTGCATTTGATTGTCTGTAAAAGATTTTATTTCTCCTTTGCTTATGAAGCTTAGTTTGGCTGGATATGAAATTCTGGGTTGACAATTCTTTTCTTTAAGAATGTTGAATATTGGCCCCCGCTCTCTTCTGGCTGGTAGGGTTTTTGCAGAGAGATCCACAGTTAGTCTGATGGGCTTCCCTTTGTAGGTAACCCAGCCTTTCTCTCTGGCTGTGCTTAATATTTTTTCCTTCATTTCGACCTCGGTAAATCTGATGATTATGTGTCTTGGGGTTGCTCTTCCCAAGGAGTATCTTTGTGGTGGTCTCTGTATTTCCTGAATTTGAATGTTGTCCTGTCTTGCTAGGTTGTGGAAGTTAACATTTTTTCCTTCATTTCAACCTTGGTAAATCTGATGATTATGTGTCTTGGGGTTGCTCTTCCCAAGGAGTATCTTTGTGGTGTTCTCTGTATTTCCTTAATTTGAATGTCGTACTGTCATGCTAGGTTGCAGAAGTTCTCCTGGATAATATCCTGAAGAGTGTTTTCCAACTTGGTTCCACTTTCCTGGTCACTTTCAGGTAAACCAATCAAACACAGGCTTGGTCTTTTCACATAGTCCCATATTTCTTGGAGGTTTTGTTTGTTTATTTTCATTCTTTTTTCTCTGATCTTGTCTTCACACTTTATTTCATTAAGTTGATCTTCAATATCTGATATCTTTTCTTCAGCTTGATTGATTCAGCTATTGATACTTGTGTATCCTTCATGAAATTTTCATGCTGTGTTTTTCAGCTCCATCAGGTCATTTATATTCTCTAAACTGGTTATTCCAGTTAGCAATTCCTCTAACCTTTCTTCAAGATTCTTATCTGCCTTGCATTGGGTTAGAACATGCTCCTTAGCTCAGAGGAGTTAATACCCAGCTTCTGAAGCCTACTTCTGTCAATCATCAAACTCATTCTCCGTCCAGTTCTGCTCCCTTGCTCGTGAGAACCTGCAATCCTTTGGAGGAGAAAAGGCATTCTCGGTTTTTGAATTTTCAGCTTTTTGCACTGGTTTTTCCTCATCTTCGCAGATTCATCTACCTTTGGTCTTTGATGTTTGTGACCTTCAGATGGGGTTTCTGTGCGGATGTCCTTTTTGTTGATGTTGATGCTTTTCCTTTCTCTTAGTTTTCCTTCTAACAGTCAGGCCTCTCTGCTGCAGGTCTTCTCGAGTTTGCTGGAGGTCCACTCCAGACCCTGTTTGCCTAGGTATTACCAGCAGAGGCTGCAGAACAGCAAAGATTGCTGCCTGTTCCTTCCTCTAGAAGTTTCATCCCAGAGGGACAACTGCCAGATGCCAACCAGAGCTCTCATATATGGGGTGTCTGTCGACTCCTGCTGGGAGGTGTCATCCAGTCAGGAGTCACGGGGGTCAGAGACCCACTTGAAGAGGCAGTATGTCCCTTAGCAGAGCTCAAGTGCTGTCTTGAGAGATCTGCTGCTCTCTTCAGAGCTGGCAGGCAGGAACATGTAATTCTGCTGAAGCTGTGCCCACAGCCAGCTCTGGCCATCTTCCCAAGTCCAACCTACCCTTTTTTTTTCTACAGTTTTCTTTTTAACTTCAAAGTTCAGGGGTACATGTGCAGGTTTGTTATATAGGTAAACTTGTGTCATGGGGTTTTGTTGTACAGATTATTTCATAACCCAGGTATTAAACCTAGTACTCATTGGTCATTTTTCCTGATCCTCTCCCTCCTTCCAACCTCCACCCTCAAGTGGGCAGAAGTGTCTTTTGCTCTTCTCTATGTGTCCATGTGTTCTTGTTGTTTAGCTCCCAGTTATAAGTGAGAATATGCAATATTTAGTTTTCTGTTCCTGTATTAGTTTGCTAAAGACAATGGCCTCCAGCTCCATCCATGTTGCTGCAAAGAATAGAATCTCATTCTATTTTATGACTGCACAATATTTCATGGTATATATGTATCACATTTTTTTATCCAGTCTACCATTGATGTGCTTTTAGATCAACTCCATGTCTTTGCTATTGTGAACAGTATTGCAGTGAACATATATGTGCCTGTGTATTTAAGGTAGAATGATTTATATTCCTTTGGGTATATACCCAGTCATGGTATTGCTGGGTCAAATGGTGGTTCTCTTTTAGGTGGTTCAATTTTGAGGAATTGCCACACAGCTTTTTACAACGGTTGAAATAATTTGCACTCCCACCAACAATGTATAAGCATTTCTGGCCAGGCATGATGGCTCATGCCTGCAATCCCAGCACTTTGGGAGGCTAAGATGGTCAGATTGCTAGAGCTCAGGAGTTCAAGACTAGCTTGGGAAACATGGCAAAATCCTGTCTTACAAAAAGTACCAAAAATTAGCCAGGCATGGTGGCATGTACCCATAGTTCCAGCTACTCAGGAGGCTGAGGCAGGAGGATTGCTTGAGCCTTGAAGGCAGAAGTGGCAGTGGGCTGTGATTGCATCACTGCATTCCAGTCTGAGTGACAGAGCAAGAACCTGTCTCAAAAAAAAAAAAAAAAAAAAAAAAAAAGGTGGGTGATTCCTTTTTCTCTGCAACCTCATGCTAGCATCTTTTATTTTTTGACTTTTTAGTAATAGCCATTCTGACTGGTGTGAAATGGTATCTCATTGTAGTTTTGATTTGCATTTCTCTAAAGATCAGTTATGTTGAACATTTTTTCCAAATGTTTGTTGGCTGCATGTATGTCTTCTTCCGAAAAGTGTCTGTTCCCATCCTTTGCCATTTTTCATAGGGTTGTTTTCTGCTTGTAAATACGTCTAAGTTTCTTATAGACCCTGAACATTAGACCTTCATCAGATGCATACTTTGAAAATATTTTCTCCCATTCTGTAAGTTGTCTGCTCACTCAATAGTTTCTTTTCCTGTGCAGAAGCTCTTTGGTTTAATTAGATCCCATCTGTCAATTTTTGCTTTTGTGGCAATTGCTTTTGGTGTCTTCATCATGAAATATTTGCCCATTCCTGTGTTCAAACTGGTATTGCCTATATTGTCTTCCAGGGTTTTTATAGTCTTAAATTTTACATTCAAGTCTTTAATCCATCTTGAGTTGATTTTTGTATATAGTATAAAGAAGGGGTTCAGTTTTAATCTTCAGCCTATGGCTAGCCAGTTATCTGATTACAATTTATTGAAATGGGAGTCCTTTCCCCAACACTTGTTTTTGTTAGCTTTGTCAAAGATCAGATGGTTGTAGGTGTATGGCCTTATTTCGGGGCTCTCCATTTGATTCCATTGGTCTTTGTGTCTGTTTTAATACCCACACCATGCTATTTTGGTTACTGTAGCCCTGAAGTATGGTTTGAAGTCAGGTAGCATGAGGTTTTCAGCTTTTTTTCTTTTTACTTAGGATTGCCTTGGCTATTCAGGCTCCTTTTTGGTTCCATATAAATTTTAAAATAGTTTTTTTTTTTTTCTAGATCTGTGAAGAATGTCTTTGGTGTTAGATAGGAATAGCATTGAATCAATAAATTGTTTTGGGCAGTATGGCCATTTTATTGGTATTTATTCTTCCTACTCATAAGCATGGTATGCTTATCCAGTTGTTTGTGTCCTCTGATTTGAGCAGTGTTTTGTAATTCTCATTATAAAGATCTTCCACTTCCCTGGTTAGCTGTATTCCTAACTGTGTTATTCTTTTTATGGCAATTGTGAATGAAATTATGTTTCTGAACTGATCTCAGCTTGACTATTATTGGTGTACAAGAATGCTAGTAATTTTTGTACATTGATTTTGTATCCTGAGACTTCACTGAAGTTGTCAATCAGCTTAAGAAGCTTTTGAGCTGAGACTATGGGGGTTTTCTAGATACAGAATCATGTCACCTACAAACAGAAATAGTTTGACTTTCTCTCTTCTTATTTGGATGCCCGTTATTTCTTTCTTTTACCTGACTGCTCTATCCAGGACTTCCAATACTATGTTGAATAGAAGTAATAAGAGATGACATCCTTGTCCTGTGCCAATTTTCAGGGGAATACTTCCAGTTTTTGCTCATTCTGTATGATGTTGGCTATGGTTGTTTCATAGACAGCCCTCGTAATTTTGAGGTATGTTCCTTCAATACCTAGCTTATTGAGTTTTTGGCATAGCCTTTTCTGCATATGTTGAGATGATCATGTGGTTTTTGTCTTTAGTTCTGTTTATGTGATAAGTTGCATTCGTTCATTTGCATATGTTGAACCAACGTTGCATCCCAGGATAAAGCCTACTTGATCATGATAGATAAGCTTTTTGATGTGCTGCTGCATTTGGTTTGCCAGTATTTTGTTGAGGATTTTTGCATTGATGTTCATCAAGGATACTGGCCTGAAGTTTTCTTTTTTTGATGTGTCTCTGCCAGGTTTTGCTATCAGGATGATGCTGGCCTCATAGAATGAGTTAGGGAGGAGTTCTTCCTCCTTAGATTTTTGAAATAGCTTTCATAGGAATTGTACCAAGTCTTTTTACATCTAGTAAAAATTAGCTATGAATCTGTCTGGCCCTGGGCTTTTTTTACTTGATAGGCTATGCATCACTGATTCCATTTCAGTGTTCATTATTGGTCTGTTCAGGGATTCAATTCCTGTTTCAGTCTTGAGAGGGTGTATGTGTACAGGAATTTATCAATTTCTTCTAGATTTTCTAAGTTGTGTGCATAGAGGTATTCATAGTATTCTCTGATAGTTATTTGTGTTTCTATGGAGTCATCGGTAATATCCTCTTCATCATTTCTAATTGTGTTTATTTAGGTCTTCTCTTTCTTCCTTATTAGGCTAGCTAGTGGTTTGTTTTATTAATTGGTTCAGAAAATCAACTCTTGCATTCACTGATCTTTTGAATGGGTTTTTGTGTCTCAGTCTCCTTCAGTTCAGCTCTGATTTTGATTATTTCTTGTCTTCTGTTATCTTTGGGGTTGGTTTGCTCTTGGTTCTTTAGTTCTTTTAGTTGTAATGTTAGGTTGTTAAATTGAGATCTTTCTAATTTTTGGTTATGGGTGTTTAGTGCAATAAACTTCCCTTTTAACACTACCTTAGCTGTGTCAGAGATTCTGGTATGCTGTGTTATTTTGTTCTTATTAGTTTCAATAAACTTCTCAATTTCTGACTTAATTTCATTATTTACCCAAAAGTTATTCAGAAGTAGGTCACTGAATTTGCATGTAAACTGTATGGTTTGAGGCAATTTTCTTAGTCTCAATTTCTAATTTTATTGTGCTGTGGTCTGAGAAAGTGGTTGTTATGATTTCATTTATTTTGTATTTGCTGAGGATTGTTTCATGTTCAATTGTGTGGTTGATTTTAGAGTACATGCCATGTGGTGATGAGAAGAATCTATATTCTGTTGTTTTGGGTGGTAAGTTCTGTGACAACTATCAGGTCCATTTGATCCAATGCTGAGTTCAGGTCCTGAACATCTTTGGTAATTTTCTGCCTTGATGATCTGTCTAATACTGTCCATAGAGCGTTGAAGTCTTCCACAATTATTGTGTGGGGGTCTAAGTCTTTTTGACTTGCTTTATGAATCTGGGTGTCCTTCTGTTAGGTGTATATATATTTAGGATAGTTAAGTCTTCTTGTTAAATTTAATCTATTATTATATAATGCCCTTCTTTGTCTTTATTTAGACAAAGATAGTTGGTTTAAAGTCAATTTTGCCTGAAATTAGGATTGCAACCTCTGGGTTTTTCTGTTTTTCATTTGCTTGGTAGATTTTTCTCCATCCCTATATTTTGAGCCTATGGGTGTCACTGCATCTGAGACTGGTCTCTTGAAAACAGCATACCATTGGGTCTTGCTTCTTTATCCACTTTGTATTAAAAGGCACTCTGTGCCTTTTCATTGATGGCATTTACCCTATTTACATTCAAGGTTAGTATTGATATGTGTGGATTTGATCCTGTCATTGTGATGTTAGCTGGTTATCATGCAGACTTGTTTGTGTAGCTGCATTATAATGTCACTGGTCTGTGTACTTCCATGTGTTTTTGTAGTAGCTGGTAACAGTCTTTCCTTTCCATATTTACTGCTTTCTTTAGGAGTTCTTGTAAGGCAGGTCTGGTGATAACAAATTCTCTCTGCATTTGCTTGCCTGAAAATGATCTTATTTCCCCTTTACATATGGAGTTTAGTTTTGCTGGATATGAAATTTGGGGTTGCAATTTCTTTTCTTCAAGAATGTTGAATATTGGCCTCCAGTCTCTCTGGCTTGTAGGGTTTCTGCTGAGAGGTCCACTGTTAGTCTGATGGCTTCCCTTGGCAAGTAACCTGACCTTTCTCTTTAGTGGCGTTTAACATTTTTTCTTTCATCCTTGGAGAATCTGATGATTATGGGTCTTGGGGATGATCTTCTTGTGAAGTATGTTATTAGAGTTCTCTGAATTTCCTGAATATGAATGTTGGTCTCTCTAGCTAGGTTTGGGAAGTTCTCATGGATGATATTCTGAAATATGTTTTCCAAGTTGCTTCTATTCTCTGCATCTCTTTCAGGGACACCAATGAGTCATGGATTTGTTCTCTTTACATAGTCCTGTATTTCTCAGAGGTTTTGCTCATTTCTTTTCATTCTTTTTTCTCTATTCTTGACTGACTGTCTTATTTCAGGAAGCCAATCCTTAAGCTCTGAGATTCCTTCCTCAGCTTGTTGTATTCCACTCTTAATACTTGTGATTGCATTATGAAATTCTTGTAGTTTGTTTTTCAGCTCTATCTAGTTGGTTGCATTCTTTTCTGTAATGGCTATTTAGTCGGTCAACTCCTGTATCATTTTATTGTGATTTTTAGCTTCCTTGGATTCGGTTTTAATGTACTCCTGCATCTTTATGATTTTCATTCCTATCCACATTCTGAATTCTATTTCTGCCATTTCAGCCATTTCAGACTAGTTCTGAACCCTTGAAGAACTAGTGCAATCACTTGGAGGAAGGAAGGCATTCCAGCTTTTTGAGTTGTCAAAGTTTTTATGCTGGTTCTTTTTCATCTTTGTGGATTAATGTTCCTTCAGTCTTTGAAGTTCCTGTCAGTTGGGTGCTTTTTTTTTTTCCTTTTATACTATTTGATGACCTTGAGGGTTTGATTATGATATAAGGTGTGTTTGGTTGACTGGCTTTGTTTCTGGAAGATTTTAATGGGTCAAGCCTCAGTTTCCAACTCCTGGATGCATGCCCTACTCTGGGGAACTGGTATCAGGCCCCAACTTCTTTCTCTGGCTCCTCAAGGTTAAAAGCCCACTGCACTAAGGGGGTTGAGGTACTTCCAGGTTCCTGGTTACCACACCAACAAGTGTTGCCAGCCAAAGCATTTTCTAGGGGTGGTGGCAGCAGGTTTCATTCTCATTTGCACATGCCAGCAGCAGCATGGTGGGGTGCATGTTCGTTGGCTGTGGCAGGGTGCTAGCAGGTTCCAGGATTCCAGTTATCATGTGGGCTTTTGCAGCAGTAGGGAGGCAACATGGCTGTTGGGCAGGGCTCCCACTAATGACTGTGCAGAGGGTGAAGCTGGTGGTGATGTTAGCATGGAATGGGGTGCTGGCAGGCACAGGTCTGTGTGTGCCCGCTGTGCAGATTCACACAGGAAGGGGTGGCCATTCAAGATGGGGAAGGGTCCACTCTTCTGCCTGCCTGATTTCACTCCAGCAGCAGTGTTGGCACAGGGGCGGGACACTGGCAGGGGCAGCACTGATGGGCTGGGTTCTGTGCTTGCCAAAGCTCCAACTGCAGTGATAGCATTACAGGGGGTAGGGGGGCAGAGGGCACTCATGCCAGCAGCACTGGAAGGGCAGGGTGCATGTGTACATGCAAACTGTCAGTAAAGGGAAAACTAGCTCCACCTGTGTACACACATACCAGCAAAGTGATATTGTAGGTGGCTGTGGGCCAGGGGGAAACTGCAGTGGTGCGAGGGAGCAGGCCAGTGGTGCATGTCCATGGGGGCTGCTCTGCCGGTCTGCCAGTGCAAGAGCTATAATGCAAGCCCCCAGAGCACTCAAGGCTGTACTGCAAGCAGGTGTGGCCAGGCTGGGCCCTTGGGAGAGGCCAGCAGGCCAAGGAGTACTCAGATCAGACTAGCCCTGTCTGACAGGCAAGATCACCTGCAGAGTTCAGGTCCAACAATTCCTCTAGAACTAAAGTCTCCTATGGGAGCAAGTTAAGCCTTGGTGGATGGGCATCCCTGACCATGCTCCACTACAGACACTCCCACACCAAACCCTCTGGGCTCCACACTGACTAGAGTGCTGTCCGAGTCCCAGTGCACAGTAGCCCCATGCAGCATTCCCACCTTCCTCCTCCTTCAGCCCAGCTTCTGTGTCTTCCCTCTGAAGATTTGCTAAGAGTGCGCCAGCTCTCCCAGTCCCAATCCCTCAGTGGCAGCTGTTCCACCTGGCTGCTTCTAGTCAGCCATTTTGCCCAGAATCCCATTCTTTTCTACAGTTACCAATGAGTTTCCAATATGTATATTTTAGCTAGAACTGGCTGAAATGTATAAGAAAAAAAATCTCCAAGTTACCTTAATAACATCAGATTCAAAGCAAGCGGAAAAGAAAAGAGAGAAACAGCAAGAGAGCGTTAAAAGATTCTACTTAATTCTATGGTTACAGGTTAACCATTTGAGCTCTTAATTTTTCTCACTGTAATTTGTCCATCAGTTTAGAATATGCACAAAAACAGGCTATGATATACAACCAGGTAGAGTCCTAGAAAACGTAGCATGCTTGAACTTCCCCATATTTTCAAACACATGAGCTCAGGGTCCACTAAAATAGACAAATGCAAATGAACTGGTTCTCAAGTTGGGTAAAAGTTCAACAATTATTCCCCTCTCCAAAAGGGTACCCCAATTCAAATACAAAAACAAAGTGGCTTATTCTGAGGGAAAGCCCAAATGGAAGGGAAAGATTTAATGGTTGTACACACCAGTGACTTACCCAGTGTTGGAGCCTGTTTTCTATCCTAGACACTGCTTTTTCTTATACCAATGAAGCATTACAGGCAGATGATGCCACAAAGGGGAAAGAAGGAAGAATCCCTGAGGCAAAAGCATTCTCAGTAGCTACTGACATGTCCCACCCACGGGGTCAGTTAGCCACAAGCAGCTGGCACTCATAAGCAGTCATTGCTCTGCCCAACAGCATGAATGGATAAGCCCTGGGATGCTGCTACCGCCAATTGCCTCTTCCATAGGAAACCAGGCAGGCTAGATCATCTGAGGATTTCATACATTGGTTGCTAAATTTGTAACCAAACCCAGGTTCAGCTGCTCATGGCTAGAAAGTCAGCCACGACATGAGAGACAAGGTTGGTGGGAGGAAAAGCAGGTTTCATTGGCGAACCAGTAAACCACGAAGATGGTGAACAAGCATTTTAAAATACTATCTTAAATTTTAAAATTTATCATAGCACATTTAAAGGGAATTTTTGTATGGCAGGAGAATTGCTTGAACCAGGAGGCAGAGGTCGCAGTGAGCCGAGATTGCATCACTGCACTCCAGCCTGGATAAGAGCGAAACTCTGTCTCAAAAAAAAAAGATAAATAGGCATTAGGTACCCAAGATGGGTGAGAGGAGCATTCCAGGCAGAAGGAATAGCATGTGCAAAGGTCTGAATCAGTAAAAAGCACACTATGGATGAGACACTGAGGACTACATTATTTCCAGTGCATAAAAAGCAAGAAGGAGGGTGGTTGAAAGGGGTGGAAAGGGCTCTGAGACCTCTCAGACAGCATCAGAAGCCATATTCAAAATTTTGGAATTTATCCCACATGTGGTAAGAAGGCATCAACTGATTTTAAGTAGTAGAATGGCATATGAGATTTACATTTTCACATGATCACTCAAGCTGCAGTGTAAAGAATAGATGGGCTGGAGGAAGATGTCAGAAGAACTTTACAGAGGCCTTCATGTAGTCCAGGGGGGATATGACAATGCCCTGAATTAGGGTGGTGGTAATGGCAAGAGAAGAGAAGGCAACAGCAACTATGAAGGAAAGATATGACTTAGTTCAGTAGGATGTGATGACAGCTGAGCATCCATTGGTGTTTCTGGATTCTCTAGAAACTACCTGGATACTGTCATCTCCAGCATCAAGTATGAAATATATGAAACAAAAAGAAAAGCCAGGGAACTCACCACTGTGTCATTCCATAGGTTCTGACATCTCCAGTTGGTCTGCCTTTTCACTTTATGTCCAGGATTGTAGTTGTTCCTAGTGGGAGAAATAAGGGGATATGTGAATATTCCATCTTTCTGGAAGAAGATGTGCTTCCCTTTAAGACAATGTGTACTAAGTCAGGTACTTCCATTTTTAACCCAAAATCAGATTTGCAAGGCCACATCCTCGTCACAGGTAGTCCATGCCAGTGAGACACCTCACTACCACTGGCTTTTCATTTGCCCACAGGGATGGATGGAACTAATATTCATAAAGGAAAAACAGAACACCAAACTAAAATTAAGAATCCACAAAATGCAATAGATACCAATCATATATTTCAAGTTCCATTATAATTTTCTGTGGGCAATATTGTCACACATTAACCTTTTTTCCATTAGGAAAAAACAAAGTGCAGGTTACTACCAGCTCTCATTTAGCTTTACATAAACATACTCTTTGAGACTGAAGCAAATCTGACTGATTTTCAATGTGAAAATAAAACATAAAAATTGTTCTTGGATTTATTTCCAAACAGAACTAACATCAGAATAATCAGAATCATCTATTTCAAAAAAATTGGATTCATCAAATGAATCTTTGGCCAACAACTGTTCAAGAACAATGTTAATATCATGCATGGGAATCCTACATTTTCTAGCATTTGACATTTCTAGCAAGGAAGAATTATTAGATTTTGTAAATGGAAATACCACTACTAAAAAGAGAATGCTATAAATAGAATTATGTCTTTTGTTTCCAAAATCAATATACTAGAGTGATACAAAAATAATAATAATAAAAGCGAGATATTTTGTGACAAAGATATTTCGGGATAAATACTGCAGCCTCAAGCGCCACTGGCAAGTATTCTTGGAGCAAATAGAGAAAAGGTTAAACAGATGTTCTTTTCATTTCTAATCATTTCTTTTCACCCTATGGTTCTTCCTCCATTCAAACTGTATTCTAAGTCATCTGCTGCTTACACAGACGCTTCAGCAGAACAGCAGATTATTTTCTCACTTTTAACAGCCTAAGATAGTGAGAAGATGGCAAAACATATATATTATCAAACGGATTGGAGAGAATGCAGAATTATATAAAATTCAAATTTTGCTATCCTATAAGAAATAAAGATTATCTTAGCTGTGGGAGATAGGGAGCCATAGGACAGAAAAACAAGAGTGTTGCTTGTTGATAAATATCTCTCAGAATGGCAGCTATGTGTTTTGTGTGTGTGTGAGGATTCAAGTAAAAGCCTGGAGAGGTCTTAGAACAGGACAACGCAGATACAACAGCCTGTCATATTGTGTCTGATGACTGGAAACCTGATTTACATTCCATAGCTTGGGAAAAAAATGTCAACCATGTGAGGACAGATCCCAAGTGGGCTTGGATTCTCACCCCCACCCAGGGAAGTTTTGGCTCTCCGGGACTAATGCTCACTCCTGAAGGTGTGAGGGCCATGCCGGGAGCTAGAGTGTGAATTGACACGGGAAACCCTATTTAGCTTCTATGAAATGGGGGCTTAATATACAAATTATATTCCATTTTAAAAATATATACATCTTACATACCTGTGTTGAAAGCATAAGATTCATGCCCACTACAGAAATAATAAAATAAAGAAACGTTGGCAAGTGACCAGAATTATTTAAATAAGAGAACTTGGTTTTTCAGTAGAACTGGAGATGAAGTATGTATTGAGAAATAAATTCATTGAACTTTTGTTTAACATGTCTGCAAACATTTAAATTCTTAATGAGGTTCTATTCCAGTGCAATAATAATTAACTATGAAATGCCATAATGACTAAGAGCCATAATAGGTAGTTCTATACACAGTAGATAATTCAGGCTTTAGTAGTCTCTACCCGTTGAAAAGGAGCCACAAGGAAAATGAAAATTGAGTGTTTCATAGTGTCAAATGTTGTTTGGAAAAATAAAAGCAGTATATGGATAGAAAAAAAAATCACTAGCAATAAAATGGCCATACTGCCCAAAGCAATTTATAGATTCAGTACTACTATCAAACTACCAATGATATTCTTCAGAGAATTAAAAATATCTGTTTTAAAATTAATATAGAACCAAAAAAGAGCCAAAGCAATCCTAAGCAAAAATAACAAAGCTTAAGACATCATATACCCAACTTCAAACTGTACTACAGGGCTACAGTAACCAAAACAACATAGTAGCGGTACACATAGACCAATGGAACAGAATGGAGAGTCCAGAAATAATGCTGCCCCATCTACCCATCTGATCAATAAAGCAGACAAAAACAATCAATGGAGAAGGACTCCCTATTCAATAAATGGGGCTGGGATAACTTGCTAGCCCTATGTAGCAGATTGAAACTAGACCCCTGCCTTATACCATATACAAAAATCAACTCAAGATGGATTAAAGACTTGATGTAAAACTTAAAACTATAAAAACTCTGGAAGGTAACCTAGGAAATACCATTGGGACTTAGGACTCAGCAAAGATTTCATAATGAAGACACTAAAGCAACTGCAACAAAAACAAAAATTTATAAACGGGATCTAATTAAACAAAAGAGCTTCTAAACAGTAAAAACAAAACAAACAAACAAAAAAACTATCCACAGAGTAAACAACCTACGTAATGGGAGAAAATATTCTTAAAGTATGAGTCCATCAGAGGTCTAGTATCCAGCATCTTAAGGAACTTAAACAAATTTACAAGCAAAAACCAAACAACTCCTTTTAAAAAGTGGGCAAAGGACATGAACAGACACTTATCAAAAGAAGACATACATGCAGCCAGCAAGCAAATGAAAAAATGCTTAACACACTAATTACTAAAGAAATGCAAATCAACACCACGAGATACCATCTCACGCCAATCAAAATAGCTACTATTAAAAAGTCAAAAAATAACAGATGCTGGTGAAGTTGCAGAGAAAGGGAAATGCTTATACACTGGTCGGAATGTAAATTAGTGTAGCCATTACGGAAAGCAGTGTGACAATTTGTCAAAGAACTTGAGACAGAATTATCATGTGACCCAGCAATCCCATTATTGGATATATATCCAAAGGATAAATCATTCTACCATGAAGATACATGTATATGTATGTTTATTTCAGCAACATTCCCAATAGCAAAGACATGGAGTCAACCTAAATACCCATCAACAGCAGACTGGATGTTGGCCAGGCATGGTGGCTCATGCCTGTAATCCCAACACTCTGGGAGGCCAAGGCGGGCAGAACACAAGATCAGGAGATCAAGACCATCCTGGCCAACATGGTGAAACCCCATCTCTACTAAAAATACAAAAATTAGCTGGATGTGATGCAGTGCGCCTGTAGTCCCAGCTGCTCAGGATGAGGCAGGAGACTCACTTGAACCCGGGAGGCAGCTGCAGTGAGCCAAGATTGGCCACTGCACATCAGCCTGGTGGCAGAGGGAGACCCCATCTCTCCCCACCAAAAAAAAAAAAAAAAAAAAAAAGGAGAGAGAGAGACAGAGAAAATATGGTACATATACACCATGAATACTATGCAGCCAAAAAAAAGAAATTACGTCCTTTGCAGCAACATAGATGCAGCTAGAGATTCTGATGATCCCAAAGGTAGAGATAAAGGGAGTATCACAAAACCCAAAATCAAGCTCAATTAAATTAGATCAATAACCACAGCCTCTGTTCTTTCCAGAAAGACTTCCTCCATGCTCTCCATCCCTCCAACTCCTCACAGCCTCTCTTTCCTCCAAGTCTCCACTGTTGACTCCCCTCTGGAGCCAACGCAAACCTGTAAAATGCAAGCTAACTTGGAGTTCAGCTTCCTTAAGGACTACCATTCCTGGGGGCTTCTGAATAAATGGAGTAATGATATTTTACTCCATTGCCCTCTCTCAAATTTTCCTGAAAACAATAAGGATGAAAATTTGAGGGAAAAAAGAAACAGAACATCATCAGTGAAACTGGAACCAATCATAGCACCAGTCCACAAGCACATCGCCCTGAACCAGGGAGTCTGGACGGAGGTGTGGGAGGAACAAAGCTCCTCCACAGTGCAGGAATTGTCAGTGTTCTGAGGGCTACCCAGGGATCTTTAGAGCATCACGTCCTGAGGGCAGGAATGGGCCATAGAAGAGAGGTGCGTGGTCTGTTAAGACATAACACATGTTCCTTTAATGAGAATGGATTCAAATGCAATTGGTCATTAGATGATACCAGAATAATGAGGAAATTGTGTAGGTTCCCAGGTGTCCTTTTCCAGTCATTTTGATGCTATCAGGGGCAAAATTTATCACAATTAAAAAGAAAATCTTAACAATATATGAAATACTGAGGGAAAAAAAAGGGGCTGAAAATCCTTTACTACAAGTATTGGCTGGTTTAGTGACTTTAAGAACTCCTACATTTTCTACAACCATAGCCATTTCAGCGAAGTGAAAGTACAGATGAAAAACTGCAGAGGTATTTCCCTCATGTTGAAAAAAAATAAATGAAGAAACACTAACACCTGGATCAGGTCAATCTTTCTTTTTTTTTTTTCTTTTTTTTGAGACGGAGTTTCACTCTTTTTGCCCAGGCTGAGGTGCAATATGTCGCGATCTCAGCTCACCGCAACCTCCACCTGTCAGGTTCAAGCGATTCTCCTGCCTCAGCCTCCAGAGTGGCTGGGATTACAGGGATGCGCCACCACACCCAGCTAATTTTGTATTTTTGATAGAGATGGAGTTTCTCTGTGTTTGCCAGGCTGGTCTCAATCTCCTGACCTCAGGTGATCTGCCTTCCTCAGCCTCCCAAAGTGCAGGGATTACAGGCCTGAGCCACTGTGCCCAGCCACAATCTTTCATTTTTATACCAGTCTTTGTTAAAAGCAAATGCTTTCAAGGACGTACACCTCAGTTGAAGGCTGCAAAGGACCTACTGAATGATGCTGGATGCAAATGCATGCGGAGATTTAACTGTGCTTTTGGGGTTTGTTTTAAATAGGCTTTTAGTTTTTAGAGCAGTTTAGATTTACAGCAAAATTGAGCAGAATGTACAGACCTATCTGATATATCCCCTGGCCCCAGATGTGCACAACCTCCTCTATTATCAATGTCCCCACCACAGTGGTACATTTGTTACAACTGATAAACCTACATTGATATGTCATTATCACCTATAGTCTATAGTTTACATTAGGGTTCACTCTTGATAGTGTACAATCTATAGGTTTGGACAAATATATAACGACATATCTCCACTCTTACAATATCATACAGAGTAGTTTCGCTACCCTAGAAATCCAGTGGTCTGCCTATTGATCCTTCCCTCCCTCTAACTCCTGACAAGCACTAATCTTTTACTGCCCTATAGTTTTGCCTTCTCTAGAATGTCACTTAGTTGGAATCACACTTTTCAGATTGGCTTCTTTCACTTAATAATATGCATTTAAGTTTTTCCCATGTTTTTTCACAACTTGATAGCTCATTTCTTTTTAGTACTGAATAATATTCCATTGTCTGGATATACTACAGTTTATTCATCTACTGAAGGTCACTTTCAAGTTTTGGCAATTATTAATAAAGTTGACATAAACATTCATGTACACCCCAACATTTTGGTGTGGATATAAGTTTTCAATTCCTTTTAGTGAACACCAAGGAGCACAATTGCTGAATCATAGGGTAAGAAAGAGTATGTATAGTTTTGTAAGAAATCACCAACTGTTCTGCAAAATGACTGTACCATTTTGCATTTCCACCAACAATGGATGAGAGTTCTTGTTGCTCTACATTCTTGTCAGCATGTGGTGTTGTCTGTGTTCTGGGGTTTGGCCATTCTAATAGTCCAGTGGTATCTTATTGTTTTAATTTGCATTCTCTGATGACAGATGCTGTGAAACATCTTTTCATATGTTTATTTGCCATCTGTATATCTTCTTTGGTGATGTGTTTGTTAAGGTCTTTGACCCATCTTTAAATTGAGTTGTTTGTTTTCTTGTTGTTATGTTTTAAAAGTTCTTTGTATATTCTGGATAAAATCCTTTATCTGATATGTCTTTTGCAAATATTTTCTCCCAGTCTGTGGTTTATCTTTTCATTCTCTTGATATTGTCCTTAATAGAGCAGAAATTTTTAATTTTGATGAAATCTGGCCTATCAATTCTTTCTTTTATGGATTGTGCCTTTGATGTTATATCTAAAATGTCATCATCAAACCCAAGGTCATTTAGATTCAAAAATAGTCTCAATATTCTCAGAAAGGAAAGATAAGAGAAGATATTACAGCCATAAAACAAGAAGAGAAGGCTATTAAAAAGGGAACATTTCAAGAACAAAAATCAAATAAAACATTAAAAAAATTTAAAGGTGACAAGGCCAGATGATGCAACATCCAAAAGTAACAAACAAACCACAGTTACAGAAACAGAGAACAGAGAAAATGGAGGGATGGAAACCAACAAAACAATTCAAGAACATTTTCCAGGATATTAATATACAAGTTTCCGGAATGAAATGGCTATTGAATGCACAGCACAATTAATAAAAAGAATCCCCACTCCAAGCATATTCTTGTAAAATCTCAGAACTCTGGGGACAAACAGAAGATTCTGCATGCTTCAGAGAGGAAAAACAAACGGGTCACATGGAAAGAAAAAAACAGGAATCAAAGGGCCTTACACTTCTCAAAACAGCATCAGAAGCAAGAATACTGGAAAAATGAGAAACAATGGAGCAGACAGTGATTTCTTGAATATAATACCAATGATATAGGCAGCAAAAGAAAAAATAGAAAAAATGAACCTCATGAAAATTTAAAGATTTTATGCATAAAAAGATACCACCAAGAACGAAAATGGCAACCCACAGAATAGGAGGAAATATTGCAAATCATATATCTGATAAAGGATTCATACCTGGAATACATAGAGAACCCCTGAAACTCAATAACAAAAAACAAGCTGATTCAAAAACGGGCAAAGGATTTGAATAGATATTTCTCCAAAAATGATATACAAATGGTTAGTAAGTACATGAAAAGGTGCTCAACATCACCAATCACTAGGAAAATGTAAATCAAAATTACAATAAAATTCCACCTCATACCCATTAGGATGGCCACTATTAAATAAAAAATAAAAACAGGCCAGACACAGTGGCTCACGCCTGAAATCCCAGCTCTTTGTGAGGTCAAGGCAGGCGGATCGCTTGAGGTCAGGAGTTTGAAACCAGCCTGGCCAACATGGTAAAACCCCATCTCTACTAAAAATACAAAAATTAGCCAGGCATAGTGGTGCATGCCTGTAATGCCAGCTACTGTGGAGGCTGAGACATGAGAATCACTTGAACCCAGAAGATAGAGATTGCAGTGAGCTAAGATGGTGCCACTGCACTCCAGCTTGGGCAACAGAGATAGACTCTGTCTCAAAAAACAAACAAACAAACAAACAAAAAACAGAAGACAGACAAATGTTGGCGAAGATGTAGAGAAATTGGAACCCCCCGTGCACTATTGGCAAGAATGTAAAATGGTACAGCTGCTATGGAAGACAGTGTTCCTTAAAAGTTAAAAGTTGAATTACCTTATGATCTAGTAATTTCACTTTATAGTATATAGTCCAAAAAATGTAATATGGTTTGGCCCTGTATCCCCACCCAAATCTCATCTGGGACCTGTTGGAAGGTGACTGGATCATGGGGGTGGTTTCCCACGATCATACCTTTCTCATGATAGTGAGCGAGTTCTCATGAGATCTGATGGTTTTAATAGTGACAGTTTTTCCTGAGCTCCCTCTCTCTCTCTCTCCTGCCACCATGCAAGACATACTTTGCCTCCCCTTCACCTTCTGCCATGATTTTAAATTTCCTGAGGCCTTCCCAGCCATGTGGAACTGTGCGTCAACTGAACCTCTTTTCTTTATAAATTACCCAGCCTTGGCCGGGTGCGGTGGCTCACGCCTGTAATCCCAACACTTTGGGAGGCCAAGGTAGGCAGATCACGAGGTCAAGAGATGGACACCATCCTGGCTAACATGGTGAAACCCCGTCTCTACTAAAAATTACAAAAATTAGCTGGGCATGGTGGCGCGCGACTGTAGTCCCAGCTATGTGGGAGGCTGAGGCAGGACAATTGTTTGAACCCAGGAGACAGAGATTGCAATGAGCCGAGATCGCGCCATTGCACTCCAGACAGAGAGAGACTCTGTTTCAAAAAAAAAAAAAATTACCCAGTCTTAAGTAGTATCTTTATAGCAGTGTGAAAACAGAACAATACAGGATGAAAAACAGGATTATAAAAAAGATAAGAAATAGCAAATGCCAGCAAGCGTTTGTAGAAAAGAAAACCTTAGTACTCTCGTGGAAATGCAGACTGGTGTAGTCATTATGGAAAACAGTATGGAGAGTCCTTAAAAATTAAAAATAGAGTTACAATATGGCCCAGCAATCCCTCTTCTGGGTATAAATCCAAAGGAGGTGAAGTCACCACCTCCTGAAGATATCTGCACTCCCATGTTCATTACAGCACTATTTACAATAGCCAAGATATGGAATGAAACTTAGTGTTTATCAATGAATGAACGAATGAATGAAGAAAATGTGAGAGTTATATAGATATATTTACAATGGGATATTACTCAGCCTTAAAACATGAGATTCTGTCATTTGCCACAATAGGAGATGAACCTAGAGGACATTATGCTAAGAGAAATAAAT